AAAAAAAAAAAAAAAAAGTATTGGACAGAACAAGTGCAAAGGGTAGCGGGGTTTTATATTTATTAAAGGTAGGAGAAGAAATGTGCTCTGCAGAATGAGTTTGGGCCAAGTAAAGGTAGAAAAAGAAGTATACTCTACAGCATGAGAGTGACTACAATGAAAGAACACAGTACCAGAGAGCTCAATAGCAACCGTCCTTTTGGATTTCCTACTCCTCAGGCTGATGTCAGATCTAGGCTGTCCCACTGAGAAATGCTCAAGTTCTTATGAGAAGAACTGAACACTCTCTGATTGGTTCCACTTATTCAGGGCTTTGGAAATTGTTCTGAGCCTGTGTCCTGAAAATTTACAATTAACAGATCATGCCAATTTCCCCAGCCAGTCTGCCTCAACCTAATCTCCTGCCTTACCATCTCAGCCTCCCAGAGTGCAGGGATTACAGGCACACACCACTATGACTGGCCCAGACCTATTTTTTTTCCGTAATGCAGATTTCCTCAGAGAAACCTTCATTTTGTATACCTATTAATCTCAAAAGAATTACAGAACTTTTCTATAAAATTTGAGGAAAATTGAATTTACTCTCTTCATTAGAATGAAATCATTGGGCTAGAAAATAGCTATCTTCTTTACAAATCTCTTTAATGGGTAAAAAAAAAAGTTAAATCCCAGAGAAGTTACTTGGTTTAAGAAAAGGAGAATAAGCAATAACAACACCAAAAACGAGGTTTTCTTCTTAACTTTTCATAAATGTGAAAACTGAGTTCTAATTATCCTGAAACACTTCATTTTTTTTTAAACACTTCAATATTATCAATAGAGGAAAGGTTGAATATAGAGTCCATACAGAAATATGCAACCCTGACCTACAACCTGCCCAGGAAGCCAGCCCTTCAGTCTTCTTAAGTCAGGGAGCCAGGAGCTAACTCAGGCAACAAGTCAGGAAGCTAAACAACTTCTGTGACAATCAACCCCCAATGCCCAGGACTTGGTCATCGATAGCTTCCTTAATATTAGTCTTTATTTCCAATTTAGAACAACCAGAGAAAGTAAAACCCACTACTGTAACCAGAATCATAAGATGCTTGGCTTCAAGTGAACTATCTCAATTTTCCCAGGCCGAAACCCTCCACACAGGGCACATCTGCAGCCTCCCTCCTGTCCACTGTGAAGCTTTGCCACTCCTCTGTCTGCCTTCAAGTCTCTGACAGAACTCAAGTGACAGAAGCCAAATCCTGTGCTGTAGCAAATAAGGAATGAAGTCTTTTCTTCTCTTGTTTGGTTGGTCATTGTTTATTTCCCAACATAATAAAGGCTATCACATTGTAATCTCTGTAATTGATCTACTTGTCCATGGTTGGTGGCATTCAGTTACAAAGCTGGGACTTGGGCAATAAGAATTACATGGTTAAAACAAACAGCTGTGGTTTTACTAACCTACAGCAGGGACACTTAAGGATCACTCTTCCAAACTACTTTAGCAAATCTTATACATACCAGTGGGCTTTGGGGAGGTATTTATTTATTAATTTGTTTTTCTGTTTTTTTTTTTTTTTAAGACAGGGTCTCACTGTATAATCCAGGCTGGCCTTGAACTCACTATGTAGTCCAGGCTGGCCTCAAACTCACAACAGTCCTCCTGACTCAGCCTCACAAGTGCTGGGATTACAGGGCATGTGCCACCATGCCCACCCGGATGGGCTTTGAGGAGGTAGTCACAAGCTGTTCTCAATCCTTTAGCTTTGGAGGAATATACATGCTGATGATGGACACTATGTTAGTAATAGCTCTTTAAAAAATGTTTAGCATATGCAAAGATAAAAAATGCATCAAGTTAAAAATCACTGAGTGGGGGATTTAGCACCACACCTGACTCACAAGCACAAGGTCTTGAGTTCCATCCCCAGTACCAGGGGAAAAAAAAAATCAATACCTGGGCATGGTGGTGCATGCCTGTAATCTCAATACTTGAGAGGCTGAGGCACGAAGAGCACGAGTTCAAGGCCAGCCTGGCTACATAGGGAGATGAAGGCCAGCTTCAACTACATCATGAGATCCTATCTCAGAAAAAAAAAAAAGACCAGATGTCTAGTCTACTGTCAATAGTAAATGTCTTATCTAAAAATAGATACAGAAAAATGACCTAAGGGAAAGCAGAGTTTCTAGCATCCCTAGAGATTAATTTTTTCTGGGAATTTAAGAATGTAAAGAGTTAATCTCATGTAAACATAATTTTCTGGGACACAAATGAAAATCGGTATATGGTATATCTGAGACTGTCATCAGAATAGGATTGAGATCAAATACATCATGTCCAAGGCTCTGAATTAAGGTTTGTTATCTAAGCACACTAAGCCTGTTTGCTTATCCACAAAAAATAGAGTGTTTACCATATGGGGTTGATGTCAGCATTAAAGAAACAAGCGCACATTTCAACTCCAAAAGACTTACCACATGATAATCCTTATGGAATGAATAATTGCCACAATAATCAACATTACTGTCATTGTCACATTCCCAAGCTTGCTTTCACTGTTAAAGAAAGATCATGAAATTGTTACAGACAGTAAGGATGACTTTACTCAAGGGGAGGCATGAACTTTATTCAGGGTATAGGAATCACTTTGATGCGATACAAGGAAAAGTGTGAATTTATAGTCAGCAAGCAAGGTGGAAGTCATTGGGTGGAAAATGACTAAATGGATACAATACCAGTAAGGGAGATTCTGGGTTTTTTTGTTGTTTTTTTTTTTTGTACTGGGGATCAAACTCAGGTCCTTGAGCTTGCAAGGCAGGCCACAGAACTGCTGAGCTAAATCGCCAGCCCACCAATAAGGGAGATTCTAATTAAACCAACCAAACAGGTTTCCTGTTGAAAACAGGATAAGGGCTTCAGATATCACCTGGGCAAGGGGGCTGGGGTGGGGGATGCGGAACCTGCTCTGATATCACTGTGGCTTGACTGATTTAGCAGGATTCATGCTAACACTGGATGATGCAGAGACAGCACAAAAGTCCAAATATTAAGACTTGGTTGAAAAAAGAGCTCAGGGGAGTTTGGTCAGAGAAAATCTTCATCATCACTAATGGCTCTACTCAGTATTAGTACCCTGCACTATCACAAAGCTTACAAAAAGATAAAGGCAGAAAAAAAGTACCATCTTTTTTAAAAAGTCCAGTCATTAACAAAATTTTCATGAACATAAAAGCAGCAACTCTCTACTTAAACTTTGCTCAGTGAAAGCAGAATAATGCTATTTGATTGAGATTAATTTAACATGTTCCATGGAATATCATATGATATGAACAGAAACAATGATTAAGATCTTTTTTGTTTGTTTGTTTGTTTTTTGAGACAGGGTCTGGTTATGTAGTTGAGACTGACCTGGAACTCACTATGTAGCCCAGCTGGTATCGAACTCACAGTGATCCTCCTGCCTCAGTCTCCGGAGTGCTAGGATTACAGGTATGCGCCACCACGTACTGCTCAATGATTAAGATCTTAAGAAATGTTTGAGTTTTAGTGGGTCATAGTGTTGCACCCTCTCTAATGCTAGAACTCTGAGAGGCTCAAGCAGAAGGATTGCATTGGTCAACTTAGTGACTTAGCAAGACCTTGTCTCAAAAAAAAAGTGCTGGGATGTAGGTCAGTACAAAGGCCTTGGATTCAATGCTCAATAGTAAAAGAAGAAAACATAATTAGCGTTTTTGTGGGAAAGGTATACGTTGCAAACAGATGCTATGATAGAAGAGGAAAAGTAAGTATAAATTGGTCCTTTCCAGGGCCTGGACAACCCAAAGACTCTGTGCTGGCCTTGAAAGTCTGTCATCAGAAAGAAAGTTGAGAAGTAGATGTGCTCAGCAGCAGAGCCTGGCTGGAGCGTAGTGGTCTTGAAAACAAAGGCCCCTGGAGAATGGTAAGAAAATGCATGCACATGACTGCGTAGGAGTAGTAGCAGTAAACTGCTTGACCTTTTTATGGTCCAATTCAAATGTCTCAGTGAAATTCTATTTTAATAACATTTTTTAAGGATTCTGAGTTAATGGAATGTATTCTGCTTTAAAAAATAAAATATTTGGCTGGGCATGGTGACACACACACCTTGTGCCCCAGCACTCTGAGGCTCGGAGGATTGCCACAAGTTCAAGAACAGCCTGGGCTTCTCACGCAACAACAAATCTGTTTCTGGTTTTCAAAATGTAGTAGCCCCCAGCTTATTAAGGGGCTGCTTAGTCTGCTAACTTCCATGGGAGCTCTCCCTCCTTTTCCTGTTCCCGGGAGAGCAGCCTGGAAGTTGACTATGGGAGTTGGCAGGCCAGTGGCTGGCACAAGGTTAGTTGCCCTATTCAGACATGAGGACGCTGGGGAACCTTTGGCTTTCTCTGTAGTGCTGTGCAGAATACCTGGCAGCTAAGAAAAAGGGATCCATCTGTCAGACCACAACCAAAGCCATCAGCAGCCAACCCAGAGACAGCATCTCCCTGATCTTACTGTGGATGGAAAGAGGCCTGACCGTCCCTAAGGCAGCCTTCATGACCTTCATTTGGGGGCCTCTCTCCTGTGACTCAGCTGCAGTGAGACCCCTCTTTCCTCTCAGGTGGAGGGTCAGTGTGTCCGCTTGCCTTAACTCATCAAACACTGTTCATTCATGTATTCACTCAGTGACTGCAGTTCATTCCTGAACCAAACCAGCGTCTTGAGTACTTTGCCTGCCTCAAGCTCTGTTTTAGGTCTGACAGCACACACAACTTGAGAAAAGTTCACTGTAATGATTTGCAACACAAAAAGCAAAAACACAATACACCCCAGATCTGGGCACCAGCATTTGTGACAAACCCAGACCAGCATCAGAAGCTGTAAACTTTGAACACCGTCTGCTGTCCCAGCCTAGGCCCTCCGCAGAGAGGACGTGCAGTGGGACCCTTTTACTGAGCAGATATCCCAATTTGTATATTTGTTCTCATCTTCCACGAAGGCCTCCACGCTTCGTGGCTTCTTCTTGCTGCCTCTTCCCTCCCCTCCAGAGCCACCTCCCTTTCTTACTGCACCACGGCTTCTGAAGTGCCTCTGAAGGGATGAAATTTCCCATTCAACAGAACTCAGCTCCAGCCCCAGTGTTTCTTTCACACAGTGAGTAGAGGCACTCAATCTTCTCTTTCACTGGGATTTTACGCAAGGGTGTGTGAACATAGGGCAGGGAGGAAACTCCTTTTAGCGCACAGCACCATGGCTGAGGGGATTTGTGTATGTCAGATACGGTATAAATGACTCTGGAATAAGCAAATAAGAATTTATGTGAAGGGAATTAAATTAACACCTCAGAAGGGAATGTGGAGATGCATTTGGTATGGACTTAGGCCTGGCAAGGGTGATTTGGGTGTCCTGACGAAGCTAATTAGGTCTTATTTCTGAGTTCATAGCTTAACAAGTAATTGAGGTTTGCTGACTACAGCTTATATTATTTAACGCTGCTGAGATCTGTCTGAAAATTAAATTGAATCTGTAAAATATAAGCTTACCTAAGGAGATAATCTGGAGCCAAAATGAGAGAAGGCAAGGTTAAAAGAGGCAACAACTCTAGGACTGTGGCCATCTGGGATGAGAGTTAAACATTTTGAGCTGGTTCAGAGGCTGTTTACCAGGTGAACTCTAGCACACTCAGCCTTTTCTCACATAGTAGTCAGAGGTTCTCAAGGCAATTTTTCCTATCAGGCACATGTGGAAGAGTTTTGAGACCCTTTAGGTTATCACAGATGGGAGGAAGGTGGGACCGGCACATGTTAGCTGGGGACTAGATGCTGAACATCCCACAGTTAGTAGGACAGCCCCCACTAAGAGAAGATGGTACAGAGGTCCCAGCACCGAAAAGGAAAAGCTCTTCAGGGCTGACTGCTCAAAAGGAAAAAGATGGGTCAAATACAGTTTGAGTGTTGCTTTGGAAATGGTATCTCCTCGTATCTTGAAGCATCAGAGAAGCTGAGAGAGTTTCTTAAATGTGTTTGATCTGACTTTCCAGAATGCCTTCCTCGGACCTAAACAACCATCACAAGGTTTGCTGCAGTACCTGACTTGGGTGTAAGGGGCCTGTGTCCTTACATGCCTGGCAACCAGTTATTTCCTAGCACCTCTTCCTGGTATGCCCACACTAGCGCCACAACTCTGGATGGCGGGGGTGGTGGAGTGGTGGTGGGGGCCATTGTCTCATCTGCAGTTGCTATCAGCAGTCCAGGGGAGTACAGCAGCCTTTGCTGGTCAGCTAAGCGGAGAGTTTCCGCTGATCTTAGGTGAGTGCCTATGAGCTGGCCAGATAGGGCTAGCAAGCTGGCCTGTGTGAGTGAGAGAGAGGCATGTTCCTGAGGATGCCCGTCAATGCTGCATGTGACTGGTTCTGAGTTGTGTGGGTGTAGGCACAGCCTGCAGAGAACAACGTTGAACTCGCTGACATCAACCTACACACATTCAGTAGTCACGAGTCTGCTGTCTTAGCCCCGTGCCTGGCCTAGCTTGTGGTGATGTTTGTTGTCATAGTAGCAGTTTTCTTTGTTTATGGACAATTGATAAAGTCTAGCTAGCTGGCCCTGGACCTGCATTCGTCGAGGGGAGCCACAGCTTCTGCCTGGAGTCCTTTCTCTCCTGAGATTACCCATGGCTGGAGAATGACCTCCTTTTCCTAGTCTGCTCTATCCCCTCTTTCTGCTTCTGCTTTTCTTTTTTAGGACCTTCAATGGAACTTTATTCTCCTTTTTATTTTTCAATCATTGAGTTTATTGGTACTTTTTAGGTATACAGTACAGTTACGTTCATCATTGGGATCTTGTACCTTTACATGACAGGTCTTGGTTCTCATGTTTTCCCCATTCCCCTGCTCTCTCTGCTGCTGCTTTTGAAGCGACTCCTACTTAACTCCTCCTATGTGCCAGACCTTTCACTTGGAAGAACAGCAAAGGGTCCTGGTAGCAATGTGCTTAGGCTCATGAGCCCTCAGAAGGGTGCCGACAGACTGCCTGCCTTGTGTCCTGAGCACAGACAAAGCTTTGTACCAGATTCTCACAGGCCCTCCAAGTTGAGAGGAGACTATCTTCAGGGTTCTGGTAAAGATTCTTCCAGAAGTCTTCATGGAACCCTAAAAGCTAGTTGGTGATCTAGAAACTCCAGAGTGTATAGATAAAGGTGAACAGTGAGAGGTGCCTTGGGGTCCTGAGGGAATCCACAGAACCACACAGAGCTTCGAGTCAGATTTCCCCTGTCTTCTTGCTTCCTGGAAACTTCTGAAAGGATTCATCCCTTCAACTTGGTCTGGATTCTCTAGTACATGTTCTCTTGGCTAGGTTCTTTTCTTTTGCAGCTGTTACCCATTTCACCGATTTCTCCTCATTCAACAAAAACTGCACATAAGCAGTGCCAGCACCAAAGCATGAACCTTCTAGAGGTAGGCAGTGTACATGTGTGTGTTGCATTTCAGAGATATCTTGCCCTGGCCCCAGTCCAGGAGGCTTTGCAGATCATGGGTGACTCTGACCTCAAGAAAAATGAATTTATGCTAGCATAGTCTGGTTTAATTGTGGATATACGTAATATGATAGGTTTAAATGCTGAAAGTAATTTAATTTGTATAATAATTCTCAAAAAAGGAAAATACAAGGTGTGACCAAAACATACGATGAATAAATTACACATTTTATTATAGTAAAAGACATATTCCCATTAATCCTCCTCACGATAACTCCCCCTCACTTTGAATACATATCCCATCACCCTTGTCAATTTTGGAAACAGTTCTGCCAGTTTTCTTTCATGATCATCTTTACGGGGTGTCATAAAAAATGGCATGTTGCCATGGGGTGGCATGCAATAGAAAGGCAGATTTGTGAAAACATTATGATGTGTCCTCACCTGCAGATCTGGCGCCATCAGTCTTCTGGTTTTTCTTCCTAGTCAGAACAACCATGCAAGGTGTTACGGCTTGTGTTCAGATGTCCCTTCAGAGCCTCGTGTGGTCATAGGTGAACTTTTCCAGAGGTGGCTGGATCTTACTGGTACGTGATGCTGGGATGAAGGGTGACTCGCCAGCTGTGAGTGGCACTGCCCAGAGGGCAGGTAACCTAGACGGAATACAAAGGCAGACTTGGTTGTGAGCATTTTGAATCTATTCAGGGTATGTAGGCAGCCAAAACAGTCTAACTAAAGATGTTCATAAAAGAAGACTTCCAGCGATGCTTCAGAAAGTGGCGAGAATGACGAGACAAGCATGTTGGAAGTGAAATATTTCCAGGAGGATTAATGGCAATGTATCCTTTACTGTAATAAAACATTAAAAAATTGAAACATTCACCATAGTGTCCGATCACACCGCATACATTTTTCGGCTGATCTTGTCTCTGATGTGGACACACACCCTGTGTTAAATGGAGCAATGGACCACAGTGGTTAGGTTGTCTTCCAGGCAGCATTTTGTATACAGGGTGGTGCATGATATTATAGACAGATGAGAAGAGTAATACCTATAATATTAGGTAGAAATATTATAGGCAGTCAGAGGGCTGGATCCTCGAGAGAGTCAGGATGAAGGGGAAACACATCACAGCTGTTGCTGGAGACATATCAGTTGGAAACTGGGCCTCAAGATAAAAACAAGATACCAGACCTACATACTTCCTCAAAGAACAAACACTGGGCCTAATAAAGTCTAGATAGATATCAACCATCCTGGTAGCTGACCAGAGACTGCTGGACCCACCACTTCCTAAGAGAATCTTTGTCTTTCCATCCACACCTGTTAAGGTGACTTGTTTCCCAATTGGACCACTGTAATCTTAGTACATGTTCATGGCTGTGGGCCACACTGTACTCACGTGGGTTTCACTCTGTAAAACTCCTCTACAGAGTGGGGTCCCGGCTACCTATTTGGGACCCCTCCTGACTCTCAAGAGCTATTCTATCAATAAATATCTTCCTCCTCTTAGCTTCTGTTCTTCCTACAAATCATTCTTCAATTTTTAAAGAACAAGAGCTCCACGTATCATACAGCTAGCAGGTTGGGAGATACAATATTTCATATTTCATCTCCAATATTCTTTCCTATATCAATATCACACACTGGACTCAAGCTGGTTTCAGTGTCACTTGGTATATGTAAAAGTGCAGTTATAAAAGCATCCATTTCATTATCTCCTCTTGTTAAACTTAAAGCAAGGAAGCATGTAAATAAACATCCTTATTTAATAAACAAGCCATTAGCTATTTTTAGTGAAGGAATCTAAGTAGCTTTAGAAAGCCACCATGTGTCACACAGCAAGATGGAGGTCAGGGGAGGGCCCTCCTTGGATGTTTGCATGTGTGTCCGGAGAATGGGCCACACCCCTCCCTCCCTGGACCTCCATTTCCACGGTCTACAGGTGTCACCCCCTTTTCTTCTTCATCCTCCTCACCCTTCCCAGCACCAGGAAGGCCTCTTCCCTCCATGTCCCCTGAGGTTGTGCTCTTCCTCTTTTCCCAGTTTCCAGGCCAGTAATTTCCATACCCTCCTGTTAACCTTTAAGATCTGCACCCCTCTTGTATTATCTTCCAATAATTTAAGTAGCAATTCATTGTCGTTTTATATAGGGTCATTGGATGTAAAAGCGGGACTTGCAAAAAGCGCCCATTTTGGGCAGGGACCATAGCTGTGTGGTAGGGGCACTCGCCTAACATGTGCAGGTCCTGGGGTTGACTCTGAGGAGAAGGGGGGCGGGGTGAGAGGAGGAGGAAGAAGAGGAAATGGGGAGGAGGGAGAGGAAGAAGGAGGGGGAGAGCACGTTGGGGTTCGCTAATGTTCTTTGCTTCTGTTGGTCTCAGCTGATTCCGCAGTCTTCCCTCTCAGCTCCGGCTCCAAACCCAAGCTGGAGGTGGGGGATCCCACCGTTCCCCATTCCTGGCAGGAGACACCGCAGCTGGCGGGCGGAGGCTGCTCCTGACTGGTCGCTGCCGCCACCTGGCGACCACGCTGGGTGCGCCTTTGCGTCACCGCCCACTTGCGCCGCCTGGCGGCCGTGTATTCCGCAACCCTGAGCTGGGCCGACCCCAGTCCGCTCTCTCTGCGTAGCCTTTCAAGTTTAACTACAAAACCACGACCCTCTTTGGAAGCCAGGGGCCCCTGGCCTCAAGTTCGCCTCCCCCTTCATTCTCTGCACGTCCCTCTGGAACCGGGAGGATATGCCAGCATTACCCAGGATCACTGTCCCCAGCACCTCAAACAGTCCCCCACACACCCCAGGTCCTTTCAGAAGTTCATTTACTTTTGTTTTTTATGTTGAGTATGGCATAATTTATTCAGTGTATTTTGAAGAGTTGCGTCAAGGCTTTTTTCCCCATTATGAACATGATGCTATCAGTTTTCTTGTACTTATTTTCTGATCTGATTTATAAAAATAGAGTGTGAAAATATTTGTATTATCTTATTTTGTGCATTCAATTTGTCCTGTTGTACGTTTATTTTTCTTTACTTCTTATCTTTTTCTGGCTGATCATCTGTTTTCCTTCATTCTGTTTTCCCTTTACTAGTTTGAAAAGGGTTCCCTAGCTTCAAAATGATGCCCAGGAGAGTCTAATATTAGTCTTCACCCTCTTCCTAATTTATAGACTGTACTATCACTGTTTTGTACTTTACTTCTTTACTTTACATTGTACTACTTCAAACAGGAGACTTTGTTTTTATTTCTTTTCAGGAGACTTTATTTTAATGATACAAGAAATTGAACTCAGGGGGTTTGCACATCCTTAGCTCCCTTTTATTTTTATTTTGAGACGGGAACTCACTGAGTTGCTTAATTTCCCAAACTGGGCTCAAACTTGTGATCTTCCTGCCTTAGCCTCCCAGAGTGCCGGGATTACAGGTGTTCACCACTATGCCTGCCTCAGAAGATATTATTTTATGCAGTATAATTTATTTAGGTTTATCTACTCACTTGTCAATTTTCTGTCCTCCTCATCTTTCTTGCACCCGATTTTAATGCAGTGTTAGTATCCTCCTACAATTACACATTCTTTGTAAATTCTATAGGTGAGACCACCTGGTGATAAAATTTAGTTTTTGCCTACCTGAAAATGTCTTCATGTTGCTTTCGTTCTTAAAAGGTACTTTTTCTGGCCACTTTCTAGGTTGATAGCTGTTTTATTTTAACCCACTGAAAGTATTGCACTTTTTGCTTAGCTCCTGTTGTGGCTGATGAAGAGTCCACAACATGACACAGCTTGTCCTCTTCACTGGCTGCTTATAGACCTTGAACTCATTATGTAGCTCAGTCTGATCTCATACTTGTGGCAATCCTCCTGTTCCAGCAACCCAAGTTCTGGGATGGCAGGCACATGCTACATACCTGTTGTAATTTTTCTACATACCCACACTACCATTATTATACCTTAAAAATTACCAATGAACTAACAGTATTTAACATTTGGCTCATGTTTAAATTTTTTCAGTTGTCTCTAAGATATCATATTTTTGCAATTAGTGTCTGGTATAGGTTTATGCCTTAATTTTTTTTTTTTTTTTTTGAGACAGGGTTTCACTATTAGTTCGGACTGCCCTGGAATTCACTATGTAGCCCGGGCTGGTCTCAAACTTGCAGTGATCCTCCTGCCTCAGCCTCCTGAGTATATGCCTTAAATTTTATTGTGTCTTTCTTAATAACTTTTCTTGTTGAGACAAAATACCCAACACCCAAAGTTAAAGGAGGAAAGATTTATTTAGCTTAGTTTGTAGAGGTTTCAGTCCATAGTAGGATGGCTCCAAGGCAGGGTGGCATGGCAGAGGGGCATCACAGAGGAGAAACAGTTCATGGCATGATAGGCAGAAGGTAGCAAACAGCAGCAGCAACAGAAGCAAGCTTGCCTTTCCTCTTTATCTCAGACAGGCTACAAACCTTTTGGGTGGTGCCACTCACATTCAGGGTGGGCTTCTGTCTTCAGTGAAGCCACTCAGCCGCACTCAGAACTGTGTTTCTGATTGTTTGTTTGGGTGCTGGGGATTGAACTCAGGTCCTTTTGCTTTAGAGGCAAGCAATGGAACCATTGAGCTAAATCCCTGGCCCCACACTCAGAACTATGTTAATTCCAACAGTATACTAATTTAGTACCCCAAGCCTTTAATCCCAGCATCATACACCCTAGATCCAGCCACCTCCTAAAAGCCCCACCAATGACTGCATGAGGCTTTGGGGAGATATCTAGATACAAGCATAACAGTGTCTTATTTTATTTTGAACAGTTTCCATAAGAAATAATTGACTGAATTAAACTGTACATATTTAAGAGAACAGTTTACATTTTGACACATGTATGCATATGTGAAACTAACATCAAGGCCAAAGTACCACCATGTCCTATCCCCTACAGATGGTTTCTTGTTCTTTGTACTCCTTCCCTCCAGCTCCCTGCCCTGCTATCCCCAGGCAACCACTCATCTTCTTTTAGTCATCATAGATTAGATTTCGTTTTCTAGCTATTTTTTGGTATCAGGAATCGAACTCCAGACCCTATGCTTGTGAGACAGGTGGCAGAATTACTGAGCTAAACCCCCAGCCTTCTAACATTTTATACAATGGATTTAAACAGTTTATTTTTTGTCTGACTTCTTTCGCCCTGAATAATTATTTTCAGACCTATGAATCAATAGTTTATTACTTTTTATTGTAGAATAGATAAGCCATTACAGTTTGCATTTGAAATGTCTCCCAAAACTCATGCTAAAGGCTTTGTTGCCAACTGAGTGTCTTTGGGGGAAGTAATTAGATATAAGGGCTTTAACCTTATCAAGTGGATTAGTCCATTGTTGAGGTCATAATTGGTAGCATTATTGGGAGGTGATGAAAACAGGAGGTGGTTGAAGGGAGAGGGTCAGGGGGGTCTTGCCTTTGGGGACTGTGTCTGTGCAGTCCCTCCCCTGAATAGGGTCAGCAGCTTTCTCCAGCCACACCCTTCCACCACAATGTTTTTGCATCACCGCAGGCCTAAAAGCAATGGGGTCAGCCCACTGTGGACTGAAACCATGAGTCAAAATAAATCCTTCCTTCTTTAAATTGTTTATGGAAGTATTTTGTTATAGCTGTGGAAAGCTGACCAATACATAGGCATATGACACAATTTATGTTCCCACCTGCATGTTAATAGACATTTGGGTTGTATTCAGGCTTTGACTATTGTAACTAGGACAACAAGACACCCTGTGCATACAATTTAGTGAAGTAATGAAATGTTTCTTCTCAGACATTCACAAGTGCAAATGCCCCTCTTGTCCAGGCCCAGTACAGGCTCTGATTTCTCATAAAGCTGCTGTGAACATTGGTGTCAAGTCTTCGTATGGACACATGCTTGCATTTATCTTGGGTAGATTCCTAAGTCATAGGAATGGCTGGGTCATATAGTAGTTGTGTCTTTAGTTTTTTAAAGAAGATATTAAGCTGCTGTACATTTCTGCCAGCCAAGTATGACTCCAGTTGCTCCACATCCTTTGCATTTTAGCCATTCTAGTGGGTGTGCTATGTGGTTTTAATTCACCTTTTTCTAATAACAGATGATGTTGAATGCTTTTTATTTGCTTAT